TCTCTACTTCAAAATGTCTTATACCATACTCATCTATTTTTGAAGCTCAGCTGACTGTGGGTAACTGAAAACCGTGGAAGGGGAAACCACAGTTGAGGGGGAACTACTGTATACGGGTAGACTCTGAGCCTGATGCCACAATTGGATGGGACTGTGGGGTTCTTGAGGTGGGTGTTATTTTGCATGTGGGAGGAATTTAAACAATTTGAGCTCATAAGAAGGCTCAGGTAATGAGGGATGCCCTAAAATTCTATGCTGCCCTCCTCCTCACCCATGTCTTACCAAGAAGTGAAGTCCTATCCGTTTCCTTGAATCTCAGCTGGCTTTGTGATGACTGGCTTTGACCACAAGAACGCAGTTGAAATGATGCTTATCAGTTTCCAGGCTTTGAGATGCTGGGCAGATTCTGTTTTTTACCCTTCTGTAGCCCTGACCCATCATGTGCTTATCACTATGCCAGAGGGACCACGTGGAGCTGGACAGACCAGATGGACTTGGAAGGATCCCATGGTGCTTAAGAGACCACGTAGAGATGGAGCCTGGACAGCTCCCACTCTTCCAGGCTTCCCCAGAGGCACCAAACATGAGAGTGAAGAGATCCTGGGTAAGTAGCCCGAGCAACATAAGTGACTTCATGTGAGCCCAGCAGAAGTGCCTGGTAGGACTGCAAATAAATAAATGGCTGCTAAACAGCCATCTGTTTTTAACAATAGGTAGCTGATACAGAAATGATATTTATCCTCTGGGCTACTCTTAAGCTTTTTTTTTTTTTGGGACGGAGTTTTGCTCGTTACCCAGGCTGGAGTGCAATGGCGCGATCTCGGCTCACCGCAACCTCCGCCTCCTGGGTTCAGGCAATTCTCCTGCCTCAGCTTCCTGAGTAGCTGGGATTACAGGCACGCGCCACCATGCCCAGCTAATTTTTTGTAGTTTTAGCAGAGACGGGGTTTCACCATGTTGACCAGGATGGTCTCGATCTCTTGACTTCGTGATTCGCCTGCCTGGGCCTCCCAAAGTGCTGGGATTACAGGCGTGAGCCACTGCGCCCGGCCCTACTCTTAAGCTTTTAACGTTCCTAGGTGGGCTTTTCATTGCACCTATTCTGCTTGGGGATCTGCTGAGCGTCTAGAATCTGTAGGCTACCTTTCATCCATTTTGGAAAATTCTAGCCTATTTCTTCAAATATCACTTCTGCCCGATTCTCTTACTTCTACATCTCCAAGACCCTAATGATATGTATGTTACATCTTTGGAGTTTTTCCAGCCTGTTTTTTATGCTCTTATCAATCCCCACACTCACTTATTTCCTCTGTGGTCCTGTCTGCCTATTTTTCTAGTTCACCAATTCTGGACTGTGCTCTGTTCAATCTGATATTAAACCCTGATTCAAAGAGTTGTCATTACTGTATTTTTAAGTTCTAGAATGCTGATATAATTTTAAAAATAGTTTCTAGTTCTCTGGTGAAAAGGTATTTCTTTTCATCTATTCATCTTTTCCTTTATTTTTGTGAACATATTAATTGTAATTATCTTAAAGTCCTTGTCTACTAACTATAATATCTCTATTATCTGTAAATCTGCTCCTGTTGTCTGCACTACGCTTTGTTGTCAACCATACATTCTTGCTTCTTTGCATATCTAGTATTTTTTCTAAAAACTGTCTAAAAACTGGTCTTTGTGTATAAAAGAACCACAGGGGCTCCAGATATTATACATCATTAGGGCAGTTTTTCCCTTCATTCTATTAAGCAAAGAAGTTGTAGGACTGATCTACTCATTCCTGCCCGATAATGAGTTGGGTTGAGGCATGCAGTTTAGCAAGACTCAAGACTCAATTGAATCTGACTCAGTTCAGTCCGAAGGAATAGGAATGACCTCAGGTGTCTGTCTCCTCAGCCCTAAAGACTTTTTCCTGTTAGAGGTCTCCAGCTTACTTCAGTCTCCCATCCAGATAGCAACAAGATAAAAGTCCTGGGGGGAAAAATCAGCCGTATGCTTCTGTCTGGCTCTGCCACCCAGCCTCTCCTTATTTCCTAAGCAGTGTGAGATGGAGAGACTTCACTTTACCCTTCCGAAGTTTTGAGCCTGATCTCCCAGACTCCTGTGCAGTCTTAGCTCTCCTCAAATGCTCCTTGGAAAACAACTGGTCATGTGTTTGATTTCTACTCTGTTAATTCCACCTTGAACAACTGCTAAAAGCTTTACTATTTCGCTTTTTCCTCAGTAATGGCTTCCTCCCTAGGTTAAGGCCAGTTCTTAGTTCGTACCTGGAATCAACAAATGCTGGGGCATGAAGCAGGTGGGGAGACACAGGTGGCAATCATCAGCTCACTTTGGAAAGGTTCTTCTGTCACTAGCAATTTAGTTCTTTCACATTTTGTTGCTTGCCTAGTTCTGTGATAGCTTTAAAAACATGACTTTAGAATTTTATCTGGTTCATTCAAGTTATTGTAATGCACTGACCTGCCTTGACCTACTACATCCTAACTGGAATATTACTTTTACATGTGTGTTAACTTTTCGTGTTATGTGACTACATTCTCTAACTCTTTGTAGCTGCTTTTCCATGGATTCTTTTGGGTTTTCCAGACATACAATTTTATTAGATACAGTAGACAGTCTGAATGCCTTTGTTTTCTTTGTCTATATTAATACATTCAAACTCATGTTGAGTAGTAGGAGATATAGTGGACATTCTTGGCTGGTTCTCGACTTGAGTGGAAAAGCATCTAGAAGGCACCTAGTAAGGTCCTGGCTTTTCTGCTAAGTGATGTGCGTGTGTTATTGTGTAAAGAAAAGTCTCAATTCTTAAGTCCCCCTGCCTTTTGAATTTTATTTTGGGGATCTCCTTTTCCTTTATTAGGTTAGTTAATGACGTATCTATTTCATTGATATATGCCTCAAACTCAACTTCTGGATTCATTATTTCTACTGCTTTTCTGTATAATTAAGGTATCTTTTTTCTTTGTTAATTTCTTTGTTAATATATATATATATATATATTTTTTTTTTCCAAGATGGAGTCTCACTCTCTGAGACTTTCTTTTAAAAACTGAGTAATTTTGCTTGAATAAACATTGCTATTGGCTGTTCTGGATCAGTTTTCTATGGCACACAGTGCACCCTTTTAACAAAATATATTTTAAAGAAATAGAATAAGACTCAAATCTTATTTATTTTAATCTAGAGCTTAAAATATGTTCCTCTCTAACCTATTATCTTCAATTTTTCTTTAACTCTCTATTTTATTTTAGTCACTCATTACTTCTGTCCTGTATGTCCCTTTCTGTGTTTGTGCTATGTTCCTCTTGCTGCTCCTTCCAATTTTGTCACCATTCCTGTGACAAAGTTTTTCTACTATGGCCTTTTTGGCCTAGTACTCAAGTTTAACAGGTTTCAGTTTTCTATCTCCTGTTTTTATATCCCTTCCTAATCTTTCTCCTGTTTGTATATTTTTGCTTTGTAATCTTTATTTATAAAGGCAACTGTTCAACATAATTTTTTAAAAAATTGAGACAGGGTCTCACTCTGTTGCCCAGGCTGGAGTGCAGTGGCATGATCATGGCTCATTGTAGCCTCAATTTTCTGGGCTTAAGTAATCTTCCCACTTCAACCTCCCAAGTAGCTGAGCCTACAGGTGTGCGTGAGCATGCCTGGCTAATTTTTTATTTCTTTGTAGATATAGTGTGTCAGTATGTTGCCCAGGCTGGCTCAAACTCCTGGGCTCAAATAATCCTCCTGTCTTATCCACCAAAGTGCTGAGATTACAGACATGAGCTATGGTGCCTGGCCTAATATTTTAATTCAAGGAGAAAAGTTTAGTCTGAATTATAATGTGTTCCATGTCAATATTTTTCCTGCTGTGTAGTCTTTGGTAAGTTTTGCTGCTTTTTCCTATGGTTTTCTTTTATTGATCGATTGACTGAGACAGAGTCTTGCTCTGTCACCCAGGAAGGAGCGCAGTGGCAAGACTTCGGCTCACTGCAACCTCCGCATCCCGGGTTCAGCCCGATTCTCCTGCCTCAACCTCCCAAAGTGCTGGGATTGCAGGCGTGAGCCACCGTGCCCGGCCAGTTTTCTTTTATTTTTATATTAGTGCTGTGTCTGCTCTGTTTTTATTACTCAGGATTTTCCTGGTTAGGCTACTTGTAGAAAGTTCCTTCAGGTAGGAGAATTTTGCTGATGTTTTCTAAAATTGCTAACCCTGCCTCACTTCTGCTACAATTCATCTTGTATGGTGTTTGTGTGGATTACAACCACTTTTGGCAATCCTTACTTTTTTTGGAGTCCGGCAATCATGTGTTTGCTCTAGTTTCCTTACAACTGGAGTCTGCTGATGATTTTTCCACATGTGATATCTGGAAGTTGAAGGAAGTTGCTATCTCACAATGTCACATTCATACCTGAAGTTGGGTTGATTCTTTAAATAACTATCTTAATATTCCACAGTAATAGAGAGATTCTTAGCCATAAAATAATAAAATTAAATTAAAAAACCCCTCCTCTTTACACAAATATCACACAGAGGTAGGCATCTTAGAACCTCTCAATGATATTTTCTGTAGGCTCTATGAAAATGCAATTTGGTAAATATTTTGTTTCATGATTTCAAGAGAAAAGATATTTCAAAGTGTGATTCCCATCCATCATTGAAAATACCAAATATTCTTCACCATCAGAATATCTGACTTATTTCATATACCTAGATTCCATGGTTTCCAATACTACCACCTCTATACACACATACTGGGGTAAAGAAGAGAAATCTGACTAAGTAAGTTTCACCACAGAACACAGGCAAAGAGACAGAAAAGAATACTACCCAAGTGATGGGAAAGTGACTGAAACGTTCTGAGGGGAGTTATTTCACATTATCCTTTCAGCCACCAAGTGCTAATAAGTAACTAACAGAAGACGTTAGAGCTACTTAAGAGCAAATAAGCCAGAAAAGAGGTTGGAAGGAGGGCAATTGTTTCCAGCTTTTCTGTGGGGTGACTAACCTTTTCCAAAACTTTGGCAATTCGGGTGCCAATCTGTTCAAGTGACTGTTGTGGATATTGGTCTTTGCCGAGATTTTGCAATACCTGGAAGGGAGGAAGATGGTAGATGAGAAGAACGAAAACGAGGCAGGATCTAGATGATACTGCTAATGCTGACTTGGACACTGTACCACAGAGGCAAACTGTTTTTCTGGGCTACATGCTGTGGTCCTATTAGTAAGGTAATCTATGAAAGATACATTTAAGGCTGTTTTATCATCCCCTCAGCCCTCCTACATTTAACAAAAATTACAGAATGTAAAACACATTCATTATAGCAACATTAGAACACAAATTAAATGAAATAAACTATGTGTAATTTTGTCACCCAGACATGTAAAGATGTATATAGAGAGGTAATAACAACCACTTTTAATATCTTTATATATATCTTTCAGATAGTTTTCTATGTACATTTTTTCTCACAAAATATTGAATTACACTGTATACTGTTACCTATGTTTTCACATTATATATTGTGAAAATTTATTCATGTCAAAAAGAATATTTCTACTGTATATTTTCTAATGGTTCCACTGTATACTATCTTACATCTATACCAAAATTTATTTAACCAATCCTCTATTGTTGGATACTTGTGACCTGTTTTCCCAATTCTTCTAGGTATACGCTTTGCTAAGGTATATATTGGGTCTGCCTTCCTTCTTAAAAATGTCAACAGGAGAATTAACTGCCCCAAATATTTTTCTCAAGAGTCTGTATCTGATGGCAAGGCAGCACTAATCCCCTTGAGGGGTACATCAGAATTAAAATTCCATAGTCATAAAGAATTAAAAGAATAATAAGCTCAGTCCCAGGGCCTGAAAGAAATCAGACTTGGCCCAAATCCACCTAGATGATGCCTAACTGAAAAAAGGCCCTGTTTTTTTTTTTTTTTTTTAAAAGGCCTGGTCACCTGTGCTTTCCACTATCAATGTGCATCCTAACTGTGAGGCTAAAAAACAGCCTGAACAAAGCCAAGCACTCACCTCTGTTAACTGACTCTCCCCCGTGTAGTGCAGGCTGGCTCGGTTGGAAACCCCATGCAAGTGGTCCAGGGTATGCATACTGGTGGGGAGATTGCCATTGCAAAGAGGCTCCATTGCAGGCTGCTGTATAGGGGTGGCAAAGTCTATGTGTTCTGTGATGCTGAAAAATGGAGATTACATTAGCTACGGGAAATTTTTGAATGGGTGGGAAGCGAACAGAGACAGCATTAACAATCAGCTCATCATAGCTTCAACATGCTATCCCCTGGTTTTAAACGAGGTAAGTTTTCTTCTAGGATTTCTTCTTCCAAGATATAAGTGGTGATAAATACCCACAACTGGTTATTATCTTTTATTTTATGCACAGCAGCACACTCCTCCCCACAGAAAAAGTTACCTAAAGCTCTGACAGTAAATTTTATACATACATACCCATATATTGTACTTAGCTATAAGACTAAGTACTTCCTTTCATTTGCCCACCATATACAAGATAAATACTATAGACTACCATAGGCACCAATATGACAAACTGGCACTGCCATGTTTTAATTCCAGCTATTTAAAAATCTAAGCATTATTAGACAAATATTCACTCATTATTTATTTAGAGCCTATTACATGTCAGATACAAGGACTATAATAATAAGTGAAACATAGTCCCTGCGGTTATCGTGTTCATTCTCTTGTGATTCATTTATTACACATGGCAAGTTATAAAAGGTAAAATATGGTGCAATGACAGTATACTCCAGGATGGTACATGTTGCCTCTGCACTGGTGGAGGAGGGAGGTAACTAGTGAAGGAGTCTAAGGTGGTAAGATTTAAGTTGAGTCCAGAAGGATTAGTATGAATTAACCAGCTGAGAACCTGCAGCAAGAACAATGCCACAGGCAAAGGAGGCACCACGTGTGACAGCCCTGGCAGGAGCGAGGGCAAGAGAGAGGATGAAAAGATGGGCAGGGAACAGATCTAGAAAGGTTTTATGGTCCATGTTAAATAGCCGTAAAAACTTCCTAGAGTGCTGTAAGAGTGATTTGACTTATATCTGAAGAATTCTGAGGGCCGTGGAGAGAATGAAGAGAGGAAGAAGACCAGCTAGGAGGTACTGATTTGAGGCGGCAGCAACGGAGATGGAGAAAAGTCGATGGTTTTGAAAAATACTCCAGGAGTAAAACTGACATGAATTGGTAACAGGCTGAATTTGAAGAGCAAGGAAGGAAAACTGTTAAGTTACGATAACTCCCAGGTTTTTGGCTTAAGCACTGCTGGAGCTATTTACTAAAAATAGGAAAAGAAAAAACAAACAAAGCAATAATTTTTTAATATGGAGAGTGGGCAAGAAAATTAAAATTTTAGTTTTCCTGAGCATGGGGTGCCTGAGAGCAATCTAGACAGACAGGTCAGGGAGACAGGCAAATGAATTGAAAGCATTGCAAAAAGGTCTCGTCTAGAGATTCAAGTTTGGGAGCTGTTAGTACATCTGTGTTGATTGGGATTTTGGGAGTCGATCAGTCTGACTAGAAGTGATTACAAAATAAGAAGGCTTAGTGCTAAATCCTGGGGAATTCTAATACTTAAAGGGTAGAAAAGAGTCAGCAAAAGAGAGTGAGTGTCCAGTGAGGAAAAAGCAGTTATCAGAGGCACCTACCGTGTCTCAGTAGGTGTTTGCAAATCTGAATTTGCTCTGGCTCCCTTACAACTGCATGGTACTCATGAGAAACCATGAGTTTTGTGCTTCTATAAAGAGGGATCCAGTCTTCAATTCAAACTAAACAAGTTATACATGGCTGCTAGATAGCTTACAAAGGGTAGGTGAAGGCAAGGGGGGCACCCTCACTGCTTTGCTACAATGGGTTGGGCCTACCTGGGGGCCATGGTCAGCATGGTCATCCTTTGAATGATCAGCTCTAGAAACGGTGACTCTTCTACTAGCTGCTGACTAAGAGGGCATCCCTAAAGTCAGCTGGGTTCAATGAAACTCAAATGCCATAAGGGAGGGAGAGGCTTAACATACTTACTCAATGTTTTTTGAAGAAACTGCAAGCCAGGTACTCACGATGGCAGTCAGCTCTACCCAGCGGAGTTTGAGGCATTCGTCCGGGCTGGGCCATCCCAGACTCTGGTAATCACGTTTTTTTCCTAGAAGAAAAGCACACCATGAATCCACGCAAGTGCAAAGGAACAGAACCCAAAGTCCCTTATGCCAGGGTGATTACTTCACCCAGATTGGTGTATTTGAAGGTGTTAGTCATTCTTCTAGACTTTAGACTTTCCCCCATCTATGATCTAATTAAAATCTTGTTACTTCATCCATAGGAATTAAGATAATCTCTGAGTAAAGCCTTTTCTCAAAGATAGATGGAGAAGTAAGAATATATGAGTCCTTTGTTGGATTTAAGTCTGAGCAACATGAAATAAGGTTTAAGGTATTCTTCAATGCCAACATTCTTATCAAACTTAATTTTTACCCTTCTATATTTTGATTTTATAAAAGACAACTCCAACTTAGTTGAAACATGTATCTCTAAAGCAGGGTTTCTCAACCTGGTATTAGTGACATTTTAGGCTGGGTAATTTTTTGAGGGACCTGTCTTGTGCAATAGAGGGTGTTTAGCACCATCTTTGGCCTCCACCCACTGGATGTTGGTAGCACCATTCCCCAACAACCAAAAATGTCTCCAGATATTGTCAATGTCCCCTGGGGGGCAAAATTACCCCCAAGTACAGAGAACCACTGCTTTAAAGAGCAGCAGGGGATAATGATGTTAATGAAAGATTATCATTTACCCCCTGCCCTGCCACAACACCACAGTCCAAGAACCAGACTGGTTATCACCTATTTGAAGAGCACTTCCTGTGTGTTCAGATCCCATGCTAAGTGCATTACATCCTTAACCTTATGAGATAGATTTTTTTTCCATTTTTCTTTTTTTTAGTTAGAGACAGCACTTTGCTTTCTTGCCCAGAGTGCAGTGGCATGATACTAGCTTTCTGTAGCCTAAACCTCCTGGGCTCAAGTGATATTCCCAGGTTGGCCTCCCAAAGTACTGGGATTATAGACATGAGCCACTGCACCCAGCCTGAAGTAGGTTTTAACCCTCACTTCTCAGATGAGTACACAGAGACTCAGCGAGACTGGGTGACTTGCCCAGGGTCACCTGTCTAGCAGGTGGCAGAGCTAGGATCCAGATCCAAGTCTGTTTGACTCTAATGTGTATGTTCCCAATCAACAAGCTATTTAAGGCTACAAAAAATTTTAAAGCTCTGTTTATTAATATCCTTTGTAGGTACTACTTTTTGGGTCTGGGCCCTTTACTTACACCAAATCCCCAAGAAAAGAGCAGAACTGTCTTGTCTGGGAAGGGTTTTCCGAAGGAGTTATAATGGAATAGGCAGGAAGGAGAACTTTAGTTCTGTATAGCACTTTTCATATTATAGGAATTTACCAACAGTAGAAAACTGTTTGAGGTACAGGCAGGGGTTTAGATTGAGATTTTAACAAAACGGAAAGGAAAAGTTTGAAAGAGTTTCAAATTGATTCTGTTTAAATTAATAACTTAAATAAGCCATAATTTTCACAAAAAATCTTATTTTTCTTTTACATTTCATAATTTCATTTGAAAAATATTTATTGAGCACTTGTTATAAGGGGCTGGGAACCATAAAAGACATAAGGGGTACAGACAGGAATAATAAGACGGCCTGCTCTTGAGCTCACAGTCTAGTAAGGAAGGTAAACATAAACAGATCATTACAATACAACAGAAAAAGAGCTAGAGTGAAGGCGGAGAACAATTGCACAGAGGAAAGAGTAACTAATTCTGCCTGACGGTAACAAGGGACAGATGGCGCTTGATTTGGAGGTTTAAGGATGAGTGATATTTTAGCACGGCAGAGGGGGCATAGGGCATTCCAGGCAGAGGGAACAGCATGTGCAAAGGCACTGAGGTAAAAAAACATGAGCATGGCTGGTTCAGAAAATGGTGTTGAAGGGTACACAGAGGCGGGTTGTAAAGGGTCTTGTACACCACACTAGGAAGTTTGAATTTTATCCTGTAGGCAATGGGAAGGCTTCAAGCCCACATCTCTCCATCTGGTTCACAAGGATATCATAAGAGGCTCTGTTAAATGCCTTGCTGAAATCCAGTTACATTATGTCTATGGCACTTTCCTGGTCTTCCAGTCTAGTAGCCCTAACCAAAAAAGGAAATGAAATTAGTTAAGCATTATTATTAGTCTTAGAAAATCTACAATGGCTCTTAATGATCTCCATTTTTCCCCCATGGGCTCACCAACTATTTAATACTTTGCTTTATAACTCTGTCAGGATTTATCATGAAGATGATTAGTTAGTAGTGAATAGAATCCATACTTATTTGAAAATTGGGATTTTGAATCTCTCTAGTATTTCTGTCCTTTATGTTTTAGAGCTTTTCACTTTAATGCCAATAAGTGGTTCCATTATCTCATTTGCAAGTACATTTGATGCCCTACTTGGGCCCACCAACTTGAATACATTTAAAACTGCTTAAGTGCTCTCATACCATCTCAGCCATATTCAGCTTTAATTTTCACTTTTATAAGAAATTTTTAGTTTTTTGTTTATAAAAGTAATAAAGGCTTATTATAAAATATTTAGAAAATGGAAAGGTCACACAGAATAAAATAAAAATCACCTATAGCTCTGTTAGCACCCAGAGATGACCATTTATAACATTTTGATGTATTTCCTCCTAGTTTTGTTTCTATGTGCTTATTATACCATATTTCATCAAATCTAAGATGCTATCAACTGTAAGTATACATTGTTTTACAGGATTTAAGGAAAAAAAAACAGTGCCAATTATTATATAAGATACTATCAACTGTAAGATGTATTCCAGTTTCAGAGATATTGAAATGTGAAAAAAATGTAGCATATTTACTACTTTACAAAGATTGAGGTATTCTCTACATTTACTACTTGATAAATTGCTTTACTTACTATATTACCAATATCTTGGCTGTATATTCTGCAGCATAGGCGTGTTATGATTTATTTAGGCAATTACAACATTTAGGTTGTTTACAATTTTTTTTTATAATAAGTAATCCCATGATCAATATCTTTCTATGTATATCTATGGCACTTGTAAGGTGATTTACTTAGGGTAAATTACTAGAAGTAGAATAACTGGTATATTTTTAAATTTCCTGATGCATCTACTCAAACTACTCCAAAATTTACTTCATTTAAATAAAGTGTGTATTACACGTTTAAAAACAATTTGATAATCAAAACTGGTATCTTACTGTTTATGCCTACACTCTTTTGATTGCTGATGAGGTTGAACATCTTCTCTAGTGGCTGTGTGTGTGTGTGTGTGTGTGTGTGTGTGTGTGTGGTGTGTGTGTGTGTTTATATCTGGTGAACTGCCTATGTACTCTGCACCTATTTTATTGAAATACTGTATGTTTCATATTGATTTGTAGGTGCTCTTTAAATGATATTGATACCCTCTGCTTATCATATATTCTGTAAATATATATAAATAATCTACAAAACATACTTTGCTTCAGTCCTTTGTCTCATTTGGTGGTGCTTTCCAATGTCAGAATTATTATTTTCTTTCCCTCTCTCTGCCTTAGAAAGTTCTTTCCACATGGAAAGGGCATGTAAATATTCACCTAGTTTTTCACGTTAAATCCACTGGAATTTTCATTTCCATAACGCTTTAGAGTTTGAACTTTTTTCATTGATACAGAAGTCACGCTGGTTTCTTGTTCATTTTGCCCCTTTATCATCTCATCTATACTCTTTCAAGTTACAAATACAGCCTTTGTGAGATGAGACCGTGACATCTGGCATATTAAACATTCAATTTACCTTGAATGCCAGAATAAACTGGCATATTAAACATTCAATTTACCTTGTGGCCCAGGAGATGCCACCTTGGGGCCAGTGATCTCCAGGTTTGCTTGGTAACGATGCCCATTTTCTATCTGACTTGATTCTACTTTTTTCCCAGGAGTTTTCTTATGATCTCCTTTGGGTTTCTTTACACGTTTGACCTGGAATGTAATCTGGTAAACAGAAACATGTTAGGGACAAATGAGACGAGATATCAAATCTGTTGATGACTTGTGAATACTACTTTAAGAATAACCCAGTCCGATGCTCAGGTTAAGTTATCTTCTTGAGTTTAATTCTTAGAAAATGGTTAGTGAAATGAACAAAATAACCTAGTCTCGAAGAATGTGTAGAAGAAACTGAAAAGAAAGATGTCTGAACTGGGCAGCTCCAAGTCTGCGGTTTTGACTGTGGCTTCACACCCATCCCATTTCCTCCTGCCTTCCAGAAGTTAGCCAGCAATACATAAGTAACATGAAATGCTTCTTCCCAGTAAAATTTCCATGTGAAGGCTGTCCTGGAGTGTGCAGTAAAGTAGTGCCACATGTCCAACAGAAACTTCCCACTTTGTACACTAGGGTGTCCTGAAAGACATGGGTTGCAATTTTGTGAGAATTAAGTTGGCAAACTTACCCATTCTGTTGCTTCATCATCTTCACTTCTGCAGTCTCCATAGCAAGAGCTTTTCGCCACCCCATCCTGGGGACCTTTCTTCAGCACCCGTATTCCTTGTAAATCTAGACGCCGCCCTTTCATCTCCAGTGCACCCCCAAAGCCTTCCAAAGGCCATGCCTGTTGAAATTCATCCACCAAAGCTAGTATTTCTTCTGACATTTTTGTTTCATCTGAATTCTCCATCTCATCAGAACCATTGCTCTCCTCAACCACCGTACCTGAAATTCAAGGGCCAGCACATTATTAAAACGTACATAGTACTCATTCAAATCTTTGGGTGACTCCAAATCTGCTTTTGGAGAAACGTTTTTGGTCTGCTAAAAGGCACTTCTATAGCCCAATGTAATAAAAATACCATTCAACATCTTCAACATTCGTAATAGAATACCAACTTTGTCATCTAGCTTTTGCCAAAAGCTTGGCTGTGAACAGTGGCAGCTAGATGGCAGGCAGTCAGAGATTCTGTTATTAGTGAGCATGAGGAGAGGTATGTGATACACTATTTTTTGAAAAAGATCCACTTGTCTACATACAACACATAGATGGTGGAGATGAAGCTTACGTTATTTAATATGTGGGATTCTTCAAGGTTTGTTCAAATATCTAGACATAGCTGTGTGTCCAGACCATATAGCTGGCTTAATTGCCTTAACTGAAAAATGATTTAAGGAAAACTATCCAATTTCTACATGGAGTCTCCCATTTTCACTAATGGCTGATACAAAAAATAGCAATATACTACAATAATTTCTTTCTAAAATGATCACCAAGGTATTATTTAGGTGGCTCAAGTCTCTTATATAAAGACTCCTATGGAAGACTCTCAGTGCAGTGGCCTAGCAAAAATTCTCTTTCCTGAGAAATCGGTGTGTTTCCTTTATTATTCAATGAAGGCTACATAAGCCTCTGAGTTCACTTCTACGCTTGAATAACAAGGAAGTTTGGGCAAAATTAGCCTGAGTTTCTTAATACAATGCTTTCTTTTAAAAAATTCTTCACTACTTAACTTTTCCTGTTTATTCTGAATTAATGGCTGCATGTTATATTGCACATTCCATGAAAGTCATCTCTAATCCCTTTAGGAAATAGATAGGTTACAAGAACAAATAACAAAACGTCTCTTTCTGTAACACGTACCCAGAGGAAAACCTAAGGGCTCTGGGCTGATACCTCACAAAATGCCAGTTTCATTATTCTAGTACAATAATCTTCAGTTGGTAATTCTGTCTTGTTCAGGGATTTAGAACATGGTATTATAGCCATGCCCCATATAATGAAGTTCTGGTCAATGATGAACTGCCTATACCACAGTGGTGCCATAAAAGTGTAATACTGTATTTTTCCTGTAACTTCTCTGCGTTTAGTTATGTTTAGAGACATAAATATTTACCATTGTGTTAAGCTTGCCTACAGTATTTCAGTACATAAACATGCTGCAGAGGTTTGTGGTCTAGAGGCTATGTAACATAACATGGGAGTGCAGTAGGCTATACCACCTAGCTTTGTGTAAGTACAGTACACTGTATGATGTTCCCACAATGGCAAAAATCACCCAAAGACGCATTTCTCAGAATATAACCCTGTCGTTAAGCAACACATTGGGAAAATTCATGCTGTTTAGCTACAAAGAGTTCTGCAAACCCAGTAACCCAAGGTTATTGCTTCCCTGTGCTCCTGCCATGTGGCAATATATATCATTATTTAAAAATTCTGAGAGAGAGGGGTTTGCATTAATGGAAACTGATATTCAAATAAAGACAGAACATGTAGCTTGCTGCAGGTGTCTACTGTTGGCTTTTCTAAAGGCTTCTGGGGTTGAGGTGAAAGCAATTCCTAAGAAAAAAAACACTAAATATGATACGTATTTTTATATTTTCTCGTCACAGGTGAGGAATAAATAGATCATAAGTATGCTCTGAGTTAGCAAAAAATAAACTAAACTTTACTGACAGCCTACTATGTGTCCATCTCTGTGCTGAAAGCTATAGTTGGGAACAAAAAAAAAAGAAGAGTTTCTAATCTTAATTAAATATAATCAAGTTGGAGACAGAAAACTACACACATGAAATAATAAGAAAACAATTTTTTTCTAGAGGAAAAAAATATTTGCATTTAATAACAAAATGCTTCTTAGAGAAAGGCGGACTACCTGAGGCAGGATTTAGACAGAGTAGAGGGCCAGGGACGACACTCCCTAGAGTGACTGTTTTTCTTTTTTGAGACAGTCTTGTTCTGTTGCCCAGGCTGGAGTGGTGCAGTGCAGTTGCACAATCTCGGCTCATTAAAATCTCTGCCTCCCAGGCTCAAGTGATTCTCCTGTCTCAGCATCCCAAGTAGCTGTGATTATAGGCACGGGCCACCACACCCAGCTAACTTTTTTGTATTTTTGTAGAGAGGGGATTTTGCCATGTTGGCCAGGCTGGTCTTGATCTGCCTGCCGCAGTCTCTGAAAGTGCTGGGATTCAGTTGTAAGCCACTGCACCTGGCCTTCCAGAGTGACAAATTTTTTGAAAACTATGTACACATAGACTCTTTTGTCCACACACATACATATAGGGATAGTAAAGGCACATGTGAAGGCACCACCAATTTCAAACTAATTAGAACAAAGAATGTATACAGGGGATAGTAACAAATAAGATACTTAGGAAAGGTGGGTGATGTTACAAATGTGTGGGAAAGTCAAGAAGGGGATTCACTGTAAAAGCAGCCTCTTGTTTCTTAAGCACAATAATAGGATGAAGGCCATAATAATTACAGAGGTTAAAGTTTTAGAGTAGTAAATCAGTTGGTGTATTGGAATAGGGGTGTTGGACAAGGAAAGAGAAGACAGAAGACAAAGAGACCAATTAGAAAGGTATTTAAGAATCCTTGTAAGAGTTATAGAAAGTAGGTTGTCTTAGGGTAAAGGCAAAAGGAATTTTTAAAAAAGGGAGAGTAAAGAGGTATACAAAGAAATGTTAATAGAGAAAAACTAGTAATAGGATAGGCTCAAAGATGATTTCAAGGTTTTTAAGTCTAATGTAAAAAACTAGGATTTTTATTATATGACTATAGGTTTAGAATCTGTGAATATGTAAACAGAATATTTATAAAGACAATGGAGTTAGGAAAGGGCAACAGGATAAACGGAATTGTAGACACTCGTCATTAATTAGTGAAAATGTTTGTTGCGTATCTAAAAATGTGCAAAGAGCTGGGTTGTAACAACCCATGGAACCTACAGTCTAGACAAGAATGGATGGAGGACTGTATCTCAGACATTGTCCTCGATAGGACATTGTCCTACACAACTGTCCTATACAGCTGAAAATATAGAATTCTGGTTTGGTGAAAGGTCTGGATTGTAGAGAGATCTCGGGAGGTTTCAAATTATGCTTGAAGCAAGAGGAATAAGTAAATCTTGGGCTTGCTGCTTGCAGGACAGATGGTATGATAGAAACTGAAAACAGAGTCTATTTTTTCTTGATTTTCATTACCATGCACCATTTTCACACTGGGAAAAAGAAGAATAAATATTGTGAAATTGGAGAGAATGTGAGCATCCACAGTGAGGTTTATGTGAGTTCACATCCTTCACTGAGATGAAGCCTATCCCAGGGTAGTGCGAAGGTTTACAGTTGCATCTGAGCCACATTAGGTACTATCAAGAATCACAGGGACTAGAAGTGATAAGAGATGAAGCTATGGGCTGGGAACAGTGGCTCACGCCTGTACTCCCAACACTTTGAGAGGCCGAGGTGGGCGGGCAGATCACCTGAGGTCAGGAGTTTGAGACCAGCCTGGCCAACATGGTGACACCCCATCTCTACTAAAAATATAAAAATTAGCTGGATGGTGTGGTGGATGCCTATAATCCCAGCTACTTGGGAGGCTGAGGCAGGAGAATTGCTTGAACCT